TGCCTTGTGAGTACTATTGTCAGCATTTTACAGGAGACCCCGAGAGGTAAAGCACCCTGGCCATGATCATGTAATTAGTAAGTGGCTGCCGCAAGGCCCGACGAGACCGTTGGAGGCACAGGCCGGGAACAGATCGGGACCCTGCCCCCATGTAATGATTGCAAAAATTACAGTCCTACTTAGTAAGATGGGAAACGGGGGAAAGTCCAGTAAAGTTCAGATTTCCTGCGCTGACTTTATCAATGTGTTTTGAAATATAGGTTTCTTTCCAGGAGAAAAAATGTAGCTGCCCATGCTTTGCCCGTGCCTGAGCACACTCGTAGTGAGCCCAGCGGTCTCTGCAGCCGCTGGGAGAGCAGCTGGTCTGCCTCCAGGGGCCGCACAGCTCCCAGGCTCTGAGGTCCCCACAGTTTGGGCAGGCAGCAGACGCCGAGCCCCGGAGCCGCCCCAGGGCAGCGGCGGGTCCTCTCCCGGCGGGCGCTCGGAGCTGCCAAGCAGCGTTCCATCGGGGATCCATTTCTGTTCCCTTCAGTGGAGGTGAAATGATCCTTTCCAGGTAACAGCCGAGAATGGGGGTCTGTGGGACCTCTCGTTGCGCCTTCTCCTCGGCTCACGGCCTCCAGTGCTCGGAGCTGGAGGACAACCTTTCGTTTTCCTTTCTTCCCCCAAACATGCCTGGTTCTTAGGAGGAACTTGGGTAATTGGATGAGCAGTTTTCAAAGTCTCCTTCTGAGAGGCCAAACAAGGAAATGACCAATGTTGGCATGACTCTCTCTCCTTCTAAAGAAACTTGTTATTCCGCTTGGTATAACCCGTGGTCTTGGAGCAGAGATGAGGAAAGACAGGCAAGTCTTTGTCCTGGAAAAGCCAGAGACCTGGCTGACTTTCCTGGCTCTGCTCAGTTCTGTGAAGTAGATACCCTCTCCCGCCTTATGTTACAGATGGGGAAGCCGAGGCACAGAGAGATTCAACAACTTGCCTGATGTCACACAACTAGTAAACGACAGAGAAGGGATTTCTCCTGGAAATCTGCCCAGAGAGTTTGTGCTCTTAACCAAACACTACACCACCTTGGATGGTAGAGAGTGAGAGATAAAGCTGTTTAGAATGAATGGAAAGAGCATAGGGGTCCAGTTCTGCTTTTGCTGGTGTTCTGAATTCAAGGACAGGGGTCGTATTTTTGCAAAGGTTCAAGATCAGGGTAGATGGAAATAAGTGGACGGGTATGTGCATGGTGAACTTGCAAAACGTGAAGGAGTGAAGGAGCACCCTCTTTGGGACACAGCTGGAAGAGGAAGTTTTCCTAGGCTGACAATCTCCTACCAGACACCTGCCCCCCAAATTAATCCTATTGATGAAGGATCATCTGAGCAATAAACTTGTGCTTTATTAATATAAAGCAAATGAGCTTAATTGCCTCCCAATAACTGTTGTCCAGAAGCACCTAGGGACTCCTCCCCTCAGACATTTCCCGCACCCAGAGGAACCACAGAGTTGGAACCCCTTCCATGAGACATCTGTTGAGCTACTGGGATGCACTGGGCCCTGTGCTGGAGATCACAAGGAAGAGCAAGACATGGCCCCTGCTGCCAGGGTACTTACAGTCCTAGGGGAAACAGACACACACAACCAAGGAGAACTCAGAGACATGAACACCCCCTGAGTTTCATTAACCAAGTTCCACAGGAATGAAGAGGTTAGTCCCAGGAATCCAGAGGTCTTCCAGCTGTTTTTGTTTTGTTTTGTTTTGTTTGTTTTGCCGACAGGTTACCTAGATTTGCAGGATAGATGGAGTTGGGGATTTCCTCCCAGGGGGGTGAAAAGTCAAGCCATGTTTGCCTGGTTCTTTCTTAATCCCCAGACCCTGGACTGCAGAGCCGGACCTCCTGTGGGCACCTCCCAAAGCCAGGAGTGTGAAACCGAACACCTTGGCGGAACACCCAGGAGAATGTTCTGTGCTCCACAGCCCTCTAGCAATTCCCCAAACCCCACTTTTTCTCCCTAAGACAAGTCTCCCTAGTCTGGGGTCTTTGGACGTTGGCTGTCGTACCTAAATTGCGTCGCGAGGTGGCAACGTTGTGGCGAGAAATAGACTTTTTTAAAATTCCTGGGTTTTTTTTTTTTCCCCAAAGCATATTTTCCCTATTAATGTTTCATTTAACTTAATTAGAATCTGGTAAACTAATTAAAGTAGCTACGAGCCCCGCAATCAGCAATAATTCGTATAATTATTGATAATTACATCCATACCAATCGTTCGGTTATTAACATTTGGGGGAGAACAAACCACTTCTGAAGGGACGAGGAACCCAGGAGGGGTTTGCGACAAAGCTTTCTGCGTCGGATCCGCCTACACCTCCAATCTGCAGGGATACCGGCCCAGATGGGGCGCCCTTTCGGGAGAGCCCCAGCTGCCTACGGCCTTTTTTTTTTTTTTTTTCCCTTTTTCCCCTCCACTTTGGGGGAATTCGGAAAGGGAAGGTGAAAGGAATATTTGCTGGGCTCCTCTGTGTGGGCCGCGGCCACGGAACTTCCTGCCCGGGGAGTGTCTGTCATTCCCGTTTCACCGAGGAGGAAGTGCGGCTTCCAAAGGCGTGGCCACGCCAGGGGGTAAAGGCTCGTGCTCTCCAAAACACCTGCTCTGTTGCGCGCATCCGCCCGCCGCCCGGTCCCCGCACGCCCTGAGCACGCAAGTCCCTTCCTCTCCGCCCTCGGTGTCAGCGTTGGTGCAGTGGGGAACTGATCTGGTTCATTCCACCCCTAGGAAACGCTCGCGCTCCCTGGAGGGTTCCTGCTGGGACACCGCGCCTCCCGAGGTGACTTCTTCCCTGGGCGACACCTCACGGTTTAGCCGGAGCCCTCACCGCCGTTATCTCTGTCGTGTCCTCTCTGTGACTGGCCCTCGGAATATCCCGGGACTGGAGGAGGGCTGTGAGCCCCAGCGCCGGGGGGGGGGGGGGGGGCTCCGGGGACCCGCCTCCTGCCTCCGCCGCGCGCGCGCGCGCGCGGTATCCTCGCCCGCGCCCCTTCCCCGCGGCCCGCCGCGCGCCCCCTGCTCGTCGCCCCGCCCCGGGCCCTCCAGACGCCTCGCCACCAAGCTTCCCGGCCCGCGCAGCCCAGAGCTCCCTGGCCCGAGGGGCTGGCCCCGCGGCGGGGGACCGGAGAAGCGCACGGAGATCCCCGGGATGTCGGAGGGCCTCAACCGGCGGCCCTGCGCTCCGCTCCCCTCCCAGAGCGCTTCCCCGCGCGCCGGGGTAGGAGGCCCGAGGGTTATTCTATGTGGGCCAAAACGGAGGCCTAGAGGAATAAAGGGAGCGACACAGCACCCTTGCGAGTCAGCCGAGGAGGTGAAACTGGAAGCCAGGACCGAATGAGCCCCAGTACCCGGCGCTTTCCCGCTCCGAGCACACGCTTCCCCCCCACCCCCCTGCCCGAAAAAGTGCGCTGCAGTTTCCATCCTTTATCTGTAGCCTAACCAGCAGGTGCGCTGTGGAAACTTAGGCCGATGAGAGGCCTGCAGCAAGCTGAGGCCTCATCAACCGCGGCCAGGAACCTACCCCTGTCACACACACCCTGACACCCCTCATCCCCCAGTGGAGACGACCTGATTCCAGCACAGGGGGGCCTCACCTGGCTCCTTGCGCTGCTCCATGTCCGCACACACTCTCGGACTGAAATGGACAGAACATTAAAAACTGCCAGGGCTCCCTCCGTGGGGGTAGAGGAGGGACAGGCAGGAGGACATCTGTGCACGAGCACGGAGTCACGCCCTTACCTTCCAGGCGTGCCCAGCCGAGGTCCACCCGACGTACCTCGCCCCCCGCCCCCCGCCCACCCCGGTGCCCCCAGGCCAGGTCGGAGGTGCCCTTGCCTCCCGGCAATTCTGCTTGAACCTGGGCTTCCGGGCAGCGTCCCGTCCCTGAGAGCGCTGGGGGTGACTTCCCGGTGGGGCAGGCGTGGAAGTGGGCACGACTAGACCCTCGGCCCTGGCGAGAGCTCCAGGGAAGAGTCGGAGACCGTGGCACCCAGGAGGCTGCCGTAGTCCTCCTATCCCGGACGGAGACGCTCAAGGGAGGGTCCCAAACGCGGGGAGAGGGTGGCCTGGGGGACAAACTCGGTGTGCCTGAAGGACTAGGAAGAGGTCGGGGCGCTGGCTGCTGCCCACCCGAGCCCGGTGATTGTCAGCCTGGGCGCCCCAGAAGTGGCGCCTGAGGTCTTGGAGCCGCACCTGTTGCGCAGCCCTCAGCCCGCCGCCGCCCACGCTCCCCCCACCCCCGCACTCCCACCTCCACAGCCCCAGGAAGTGACAGGTTTCTTTTTTTATTAAAAACAAAACAAAAGTCACGGATACAGGGTGGTCTCCCCAAACAGGCTCAAGGTGGTCTCCATCTCGTGAGTCAGTTGTCGCCCTTTTTAAAGTGCTGTTACATCAAAAGGTTAGCAAGAAAAAAAAATAGACAAAACAAAACCCAAAGGGGAATGCAAAATGGGACTGGAAGTAGGTCCAGGAGAAGGAAGCAAAATAATTTACAGCATAAATAAAACGGAACCCAATACTGAACCAAGAGAGACTCACAGTACATTTATATCCATTGCACATAGCCACTTTGTCATTAGGAACAAGTTTCAGAAGTGGACGGGACGGGGGAGCGCAGGGCCAGCGCCAGCGAAGTTGCTACAGTGTGTACACAATTGGGGATCCGAGGCTGTGTGGGGCGAGGGAGGCCCCCCTTTCCCCTTTCTTACCCCCTTCAGTCCAGTTAACCCCATGAGGTCCGATGCCCTGGAGTTCAACCGTGGGGCGAGGTGGTATTTACACTTGGAAACGGAGAAGGGGCCCTGGGCCGAGGCGCCCTGGAGGAGGGCGGCCGGGCGGGAGGCTGTATGTACCTCGGTCGTGTCCGAATGGCTTGTTCCTCGCTCTCGGCCGCCGCGGCCGCGGGTATTTACGAGAAGAGAGCAGCATGGCTTGAGGGCGCGTGGGCGCGGCCGGGCCGGCCCTAGGGCAACAGCGGGGGCTTGAAGGAGCAGTTGCCAGTGCAATGGCGGGGCGTCAGCATCTTGCAGGAGAAGTGGTGCAGGGCGTCGTGGGCTTCTGGAAAGACAGTCCGGCGGGCCAGGTTGGGTACCTCGCTTGCCTAGCCTCGCCCGCGCGCCCTACCGGCTCCGTCCACTCGCCCCCCACCCCCACGCGTGCCCGCCTGGGGTCTCACCCAACCCCTTCTGGCTCAGGGGTTCTCAAGTGAACGGATCAGAAAAAGGTAGGCGTGTAAGCGAGAGAACCTGGCGATTTAGAACCACTGCGCGGGTGCAGTAGCCCCATTATGCAGAAGAGGAAACTGAGGCACAGAAAGAGGGAAGTCAATCTGCCCACGGCCAGATTTGGATCCCACGGCAGATTTCCCAATGCCCAGGGCTCAAGGGGTTCTTTCTCCCTATTCTATCGTTCTAGAATTATTTCCCCATTAAAAAAAATCCCCATTTCCCTCCTCTCGGCTTCTGATCTAGGTAGACCTGGTCTTCCCCTCTCACTAGCCCCTCCATTTACTCATCCATTCATTAGCTCATTCACCATCCATTCATCCGCCATCATTCATTCACTCATTCATTCATTCAGTGGCACAGCCAGAGCCTGGCAACAAATCCTATCTTTGTTCCCCAGCATCCGCACCTTTTAATTTCTGCTGGATGGCATAGCGCGCCTTCCGCTCTTGGTCGAGCTCGTTACACAGAGTGTCTGGAAGACATGGGGGAGGGGCCGGTGAGGAAATGAGACCACCCTCCAGCCGGCCGGGGTCACAGCCCGGGCCTCACCCTCTCCCCAGCGCTCAGCCCCTCGAAGAAACAAATCCGGGAGACCGAGGGAGGGAGCATCAACGCTCCAAACTGCAGCCTGGCGGAGGGAGGAAAAGGCCTGGGATGGCGCTTAAAGGCAGACGGATCTAACCAAAATTAAAGCAAACTTAGGCATTACTTCCCAGGTAATTTTACGCCTCGATTTTTAATTCAGAAACCATGGAAATTGCCGCGATAAGAAGTTCAATCACTCCATGTAATGATGCCTGCAAGCCGTTTGCTGGGCTCGCTTGCCATTCTGAGGCTAATCAGAGTATACAAAGGATATTAAATAAAAAAAATAATTGTTAAATTACCTTCAATTTAAATCCAAATGACTGAGCCAACATTGCGGCTCCTGCCAGACGAGAGGCAGTTACGGCCCGTGCACGCGCTCACCTGACTCGCGTCTTACCTCTGACAATTTGCAGCTGTTGCACCATTTCTTCTCGATAAGCCAATTCCCTCTTCATTTGATCCTGAAAATTATCTGTGCAAATTGATTAAGTGAGAGCTGTGACGCACAGCCCCCTCCCTCGGCCCTGTTTCCCCACTCCCCATTCCCGCCCCCACCCCTTCGGTCTCGGGCCTAGCGGGAAGCCCCGGAAAAGCAGGGTTCGGCGGCTGGGGCCGGGCGCGCAGCAGCGGCTGCCTGGCCTGGGCTCCGGGCGCGCACGAAGAAGGCTCTCGCGCTGAGGTGGGGTGAGGTTGGGTGAGGTGGGTCGGGGTGGGGGTACCTTTGAGGCTCTGAAATTCTCGCTCCAGTTTCTTGCGGAGCTCCATTTGCTCCAGGAGCAGTTTCTGCAATTCGTCTGTGAGGGGGCGAGAGTGGGAGGTAAAGGAGGGTGCGCGGGATTCTGGCGTCCCCCACTACCCCCCCCCCCAACTACCAGCACCAAGGTTCTGCAGGTCCTGCCCCTGGCCGGGAGCCCCTGAGATGGGAGTTGTGGAGTGGTGGGGCCAGGAAGTAGAGGCCCTCTACAATGTTTTCCCATTTGCTTCCAAAGGATTTGGGCGAGGAAACAGGTTGCCCAGGGGAATTAAATTCAGGATGGTGGAAGCCATGTCGGGCTTCTAGGCCCTGGCTCCAGGCGCTAACCAGCATGACATCTGCTTTAAGTTGTTGCCAACTCCCTAACCTTAGAGGCTGGCCCAGGACTTGACTTACCCCTCCAAATGACACACCTAGTCCCTCCCTTCAATAATACGAGCTGGGTGAATCTGGTCAAAGACTTAGATCCCTGCCCTGAAAAATACCTGTACGCACAACAGTTTGTTCACAATTTCAGGGGGTCCCAGGCCCCCAAATCCATACTAAGAGCTCTCATATAAAGCACCAATGACGTTGAAGGTAATTGCATATCCTGTATAATCTGTGACTAGGAAGAGTGGAATACCACCAATCCTTCTTCCCCTTCCCACACCACTTTCCAAGCCCATCCCTGGGCTGCTTGAGGGCAGTGTGGTGGATAGCAGGTGGATGTGGAAAGCCCCCTCCGTGCCCTCAGAACCAGCTACAGAGGGATGGCAGAGGCTGCCCTGACCATGGAGCTATTGGGATCTGGGTCCTCCCCCTGGGGAGGCTCTCTGAGAAATCCCACCCTGAGCAGGTGCTGAGGAAACACAGAAATGGGAGGTAGAGGAGCAAAGTGGGGTCAGAGGCTCCCTCCTCTGTGCCTCAAGCCACATGCTCCTCCTGCAGGTGGAGCAGCAACCCCAGGATCCCATTCTGAAAGCAGGCTCTATCCTCACCCCATTTAGGGCACGCTGTGTGTGTGTGGGGGGGAGGGATGGTTATGCATTAATTCCAGGAAAAAATTAACCTCTCAGACATTCCTAAAATAAATGCCTCCTTGCAATCTTGCTTTTCAGAAAAAGTCCTGTTTTCCAGTGAGGTTGGGAGACCCAGATTGCCCTATCTGTCACATGCATCAAGTTCTGAGGATCATTACTCATTGCTCTCTTTCAGTGGGCTCTCCAGATAGGCCAGCCTTGGGAATCCAAACTTCTAATGAACCTCTAGGGGTTTGGTTCACTCTCCCCACCCCCTCCCACCCCACACCTCTGTGCCAGCATCATGTGCCCAGAGGATTATCCTTTCCACTCAATGAAACTTGATTCCCCAAGAACCCTGTCTTCCCACACACTCCCCTACAAGAAGGGTTCATCTCCCCCCAAGCAGGTGTACCCCCATTTCACAGATTTAACCTCACCTCTGGCCAGGTTCTCGATATCTTTCTCCACTAGCTGAGTTCCTGTGACATCCAGGGTGAGCCCATCTTCACCTGGGACACAAGGGCAGATAAGAGGGGTTCTGTCCTGGGAGAGGCCTTGGGAGGGGAAGGGTGGGCTGCCTGGAACTGTGCTAAGTCAGGGAGCTGCTCCAGATCTTCTGCCTTTAGAAGAGACAGTTACAGGCATCGAGTACCACCTACCTTCCAAGCTATCATTTTAGGGGTGTAGCCCTCGTTTTACAAAGTGACCCACTGAAGAAGGACAGTGGACTCAGGGAAGGTAGGCTATCTTAGGGCAGGACGTGCCCTCTGACCTGCTTCATGTGGGTGATGGTGTCTCTCATTTCCTTTTAGTACAGCCCCTTCTCTTACCCGGAAGAGCCCCAAACCCACTAAGGAGGAAAGCAGCTCAGGAAACCTAGCCTGCACCTCTCTCGCGCGCTGTTTAAATATGTATCAGCCAGCCGCACGAGGGGACCAGCAGCCCCTTACGCTCGATGGAAAGCCCCTCTCGCCAGCAGAAGCCGGTGGGCACCTGGGCGACCTGGGCCCCAGCTTCCGGGTGGGGTTGGTGCGCGAGGGTCCTAGGGCTCACCTCGGTCTGTATTTGCGGGACTTGGTTGGGAGATACTCCTTTGGTCTGGATAGGATTTCCTCGTTTCCAAATCGTCGGCGGTCGAGTGATTGTCTTCCTTATCTGGTTCTTAAAGGCAATAAACCGAGTTTCAAGGAGAAGCAAAGAAACCGTGACCCCGATACGGCCAGAGCTGCCACGGTCGGGGCGCCCGAGCCCTAATTAAAAGCGTCGTGGCCGCCGCTGGTTCCCGGCTGTGCGCCTGGGCTTGCACCCTCAGGCTTTGGGCCCGGCACCCCCTCCCCCGCGCGCGGTCTGCTCATCTCGCGCTCCACGCCCCCTCCCCAGCCCCTCGGAAAAGAACAAGACGAGCAGCCGAGCCCACCAGGGACAAGCGACCTACATCGCGCGCAGATACTGGGGCACCGCGAGCGCGCGTGGCCGCCGGGTCTGCCTGCGCCGCTCCCGCCGAGAACGCGGCCCAGGCGGCGACCCGCGCGGGGTGGCGGCTGGGGAGACATCCTTTCGGGCTCGGCCTGCCGGGATTTCCGAGGCCCTCCGCCCCTCCTCTTCGAGCCACTGGCGCCTGGCGCACGTGCAGGGCTCCCCCCGGGTTGGGCCGCAGCTACCCGGCGCTTCAGGCGTGTCCAAGCGCGCAGCCGAGCGCCTGCACCCACCGCCCTAACCCGGCCTGCTCAGCAGGACGTCGAGGCCAAAACACTTGCTGAATAAATGAGAGGACTTGAAAGAGGTGCCAGGCGCGATTTTAAAAAGGATTTAAGCCAGTGTGTGAGGTGCACGTGAGCGTGTGTATATGTGGTGGACCGGGCGGTTTGTCAAGTGACCAAACGATGGAAGTTATTTGGGAGTTCTCGCTTAGTTTCCTTTTCCTTTATTTTTCTTTCCCTCTCCCTCTTTCTTTCGCTTTCTCTGCCTCTCTCTTTTTTTCTCCTCTCGTCTTCCCTCGCAGGACCCCTCCCCCCCGGCCCCGGCCCTCCGCCCGCGGTCCGCACGTCACATTGGCCAGCGACCTCAGCAGGGGGGCTGGGGGCGTTACCGTGGGCCTCGGGGGTGCAGAGGTAGGAGGCCGCGGGCCCCAGCGCCGCCGCGCTCTTCACATGCTCGTCCCGCTCTGGCGCGTACACCTGCGGCGGCCGAAAATGACAGGCGGTTAGGGGGGCGCTTGAAGCGGCTCGGGGGCCGTTCGGCCCTGCGTCGCGGCCGAGAGGGAGAGCTGAGAGGGGAGGTCAGCTAGCTCGGGGGACCCGAGCGCCCCGGGCGGCTACGAGGCACGCGGCGCAGCCTGGCGCCCTCGGAGGCCGCATCACCGTTGTAGTTTCAGGGTCATTGTTAGCGTCCTCGATAAATTATCAGAAAGACAAAGCGGCTCTCAAGCTCAAGTACTGTTCACAGCGGGCCCCCCCCCCACTTCGCCCATCTCCTTTTCGGCATCTTCCACCAGCCCTCACCCAGTCCCCGCATAAATGACGCCTTTCGCATCCAGCTAATGATTCGTATTTTAATGGACCTAATGGAAATGTACAAGTGTGCGCACCCACTTTCAAATGGCCAACGATTTCGGCTTAGTTGCACAGCCCCGACCCGAACCCGTGGCCCAGCCAACCTGGGAGCCCCTCTCCCGCCCCGCAAGCCGTCTTGACAGCTGCCTACCATGAACCCTGCGGTTCCCAAGGCCTGAGTTCAAAGGGATTCAGAAAACTACCCGTTGGGGTGGAGGAAGACTCCGGGGCCGGTCCTACTGGGGCCCCGCTTGAGGGAGACGCCGTCCTCTCCTCTCCCCATCAGCTTGTCTTCCCCGGGACCCTGATCCGCATCTGAGTGCGTGTGCCATGGCCCAGCCCCGCGTGCGCTTTTCTCTGGCGTTGGGTCCCTTTCTCTGCGCCGCCTTCTTTCCCCAGACCCCTTTTATTTCTCTCTTTCTGTCTGTGTTGCTGAAGGTCTCTGCCTGTCTCCACCTCCCCTCCCCCCACCCAACAGAAAACGTAGCACACCCGTTTCTCAGGCCTGCTGCGCCCCCACACACCCCCGGATTTTCCGAAACCCTCACTCGGAGGTCCCGGCAAGGTCCGCAGCGCTACCGAAGCTGGGCCTACCCAGAGCAGCTGGGGCCTGCCGCTCTAACACCTGCTCGGAACACAATTCCCGTCCCTAATTTGGACAGTGCCTGCCCCACATCCCCGAGGTGCCGAGGGGAAAGCGGGGAGGCGCCACCAGCGAGGCGGGCGCGGGGCTCACCTTGGCCGGCGCGGGGCCCCCCAGCGGCCCGCAAGGCTCTCGCAGCTCATAGCCGCCGCTCGGCGGGCTCCTCTCAGGTCTCCGCACCACGTCGTCGGCCGCCAGGTCCCCAAATGTTGACCGGCTGGCTGCGGGCAGCCCTGGGCGGCGCCGGGGGCGGGGGCTGCCGCTGTCTGGGGAGTCTGTGGGACCGTCGGCGCCCGAGGAGGTGGTAGACGGGGGCCCTGCGGGCTGGTCGGCGTCCGGGCCGCCTCCCGTGCTGGGCGCACTGGGCACGCCCGGCTCGGCGTCGTCTGGAGCGCCCTCATCGTCGGGGAAGCGGTTGGACTCCACGTCCACCTCGGGCTCGTCAGCAGTGTCCACGTCGGGCGAGGCGGAGTGGTAGCTGGAGCTGCCCTCGCTCAGAAAGTCTGGGCTCACGTAACCGCCGCCGGACCCCGCGCCCGGCCCCGGCCCCCGAGCAGGCCCGGCGCCATACGCGTCGCGGGCGCTACCGTAGAGCTTGGCGATGCTCTCGGCGTCCTTGACCACAGGTCGGAAGGCCGACACATAGGAGCCTTTGCGTGCGGGCGGAGGTGGCGGGGGCAGTGGGGCCAGAGGCGGCGGCAGCGCCTCGTCCGCGCCTTCCTCGTCCAGCGGCCCGCGGGACAGCGCGCTCGGACAGCGCTCCTCTGCGCCCAGGCCGCCCTCCTTGGCCGGCTCGGCACCGTCCAGCGACTCGGGGCCGCCGCTGCCGGCAGCCGCCGCCGCCGCCGCCGCTGCCGCCGCCACGGCAGCCGCCACGGCCTTGGCTTGGCTCTGCGCAGCTGGATAGGGCGGCACCGGGAGGCTGCCTGCTGCCGGCCAGAACATGGGAAACGTCGGGTACACGGTGGCGGCGGCGGCCGCTGCAGCCACGGCCGCTGCGTCCTTGGCTGCCCCAGAGGGCTGGTGACCCCAGAACATGGCGCCACCACCCGGGCCAGGGCCTGCCCCGGGGGGCAAGTGGCCGGATCCTGGCCCGCCCGCGCCTCCGCCAGTGCCCGCGCCCGCGCCGCTCCCGGTGCCTGGGCCTCCCTTGGGTTCGCCCGCGCCTAGCACCGGGTCGTCCTTTTTGGGGCAGAGGCCGAAGGCCGTGGGGAAGCCATAGGGATGAGGGAAAAGCGGCGGGGGCAGTTTTTGCAAGAGGCCAAAGCCCTTACTGGGCACTGGGATCACTGGGTAGCTGCGTACGCCGGCGCCGCCACCAGGCGCTCCAGGGCCCGGCGGGCCGCCGGCTCCCGCCGCTAGACCAAGTCCCCGCTGCGGATGGGGAGGAGGCGGCCCAGGAGGCCCGGTGGCCTCGTCTTCGCCACAGCGCAGGGTTTTGTGGGGCGGCGGGCCTGGGGCCATCTCTGCACCGCACCCCGGGCCGCCCCCGCCGCCAGCACCACCCTTCCCCTGCCCACCCGACCCGCCATTAGCGCCGCCGCCGCCTCCTTGCAGCGAGAAAGTCCGCTTGCGGGTGCCGCCATTGAACATGGCCTTGACGTCCTCCCAAGCGTGGCTCAGTTCGTCTGTGGCCGACTTGTCACTGAGTTTGAGATGACGGCGCCACGAGTTGAAGTTGGCGGCGTCGGGCTGCGTGTACTTGGCGTCGGGTGTGCGGTGCGAGTGGAAGATGAACTTGTTAGGCGAGAAGTACATGCTGCAGTAGCCGCACTTGATGCACTTGGCACGCGAGCTGTTGTAACGCGCGGGGATGAAGCTGCCACGCGAGCCCCACGCGCACTCGTGCACCACATCGAAGGCGAAGTTCTCGGGCAGCTTGGGTGGCTTATGCTCGCCCAGGAACGACTTGCACAGGCGTTCGGCCTCGCGCTTCGTGATCATACCGCAGCGGCGCGAGGAGATCGGCATGGCCCCGGCCCGACGCAGAATCTCCAGCTGCACTGGCGTGCACTGCACGCACGTGATGCCCAGGGCCACACGGCGGTTGTGGATCTCATTATAGCTGTAGTTCTTGAGGAGAGTGTTGGAGATCTGCGCCAGGCAAAGGCGCTCCTGGCCGTCGATGACCAGAGACACGATAGGCACCCCGTACAGCGACGTCTCGCCCACCTGGTTGGGTTTGAGAGCGCTGGAGCCCGAGTAGGGTTGCAGCTCCTGCTTCGAGTTGGGTGAGGAGTTGCCCTCGCGCCCCGGCCCCAGCTGAGTGGTGAGAGCCTCCATGCCGCCGCTCCTGTGAAACAGAGAAAGTAGAGAGCAGATGAGCCATTTTCAGTGCCACCGTGGCTCGGCCCGCCCAGCGGGGTGCGCCGAGTTGGGCGCGCGGGGAAACTTGGCTATGGGGAGTCCCCAGCTCCTTCGCCCCCTGGACGGGAGTCTTTTGTTGTTCAGACTCGCGCTGGCGCCACAACAAAAGCCCCCGGGGCTTGGGGGAGAAGAAGGGGTAATTGAGACCTCAGGAATGCCCCGGCAGCTAGGAACCCAATTTTGTTTTCGGATTGTGGAGGAAGTGGGGCCCAGAGACGGAGAGTGACTTGCCCAAGGCCACACAGCAAAGCCATTGCCTAACCCAGGCTTCCCAACGTCCAGATCCGTGCGCCTTTAGCTACCCTCGCAGCCTGCCCTACCCGCCCGGGTCCTGAAGCCCGGACTTCGGGGACAGGCTGCCCCTCTGCTCAGTCGCGCATGCACGCGGGCGGGCGGGGGAGGCGCTGGGAGGGGTACGGACGGGGGGGGAGGGGCGGTCACTGCCCATCTCCAGAAAGGAGGGGGGGGGGGGGGACAAGGAGAAGGAGGAGGGGCGGGAGGCGTGGGGCGGGGGGGGGGGGGGGGGGAGGAGGCTGAGACGACCGCTGTTCGCGGTGCTGAACCCGTATCTCCAAAGCACGCTGTGCGCGCCTAGCCCCAGGGCGGCCCCCACCGCACCCAGTTCCGTGCCAAGCCGGTTCCCCGGAATAACAGCACTGGTTTCCACAAACCCGAGCTTCTCCTCTCACGCCCGGAGCCTCGCGTTCGTTGAGCAGAAAGATTCCGGCTGGAAATACAAACCCTTTTTTTCCCCCAGCCATCAGTGGAACCAGGGTCACGCAGTTCCTAACCACATTTTCTGCATTTTTAGCTGCGTTCCGGACCAAGGCTGTTTTCCATCCGGGTTAGCGCGTGGGGACAGAGGGGTTCTCGAGGAAGTTTCTCTGGAGCCACTTCTCCTTTGCTCCTAACAGCCCATTCCCTAAGTTTTCCTCCTTCTTCAGATATGCCTTTCCTGCTCAGGCCAAGCGCGGTCTCTCCGGGCTCTGGGCTTCCTCTTTTGGGGGCGTCTCCTCTTTGAGTATACTTCAAGCCGGGCTGTCCCAGTTCATATGGGTTGAGAGGAATCCTGGCCGGTGTTCGAAGCCACAAGGTCCCGCGCTTTGATCTCTGGCCCAGGCAGGGAGGCAGCCTCTCCCGTGGATCTCAGCAGCAGGAGGACCCAGGGACTGATGTTCGGGGCCCTCTAGGTCGCCTGGCCCGGCCACGTGTCCTCAGACACCGAAGGCTGTCATCCGGCCCACGGCTGCAGGCGCTCCTGAGGCCCAGGCAGCTCAAGCCGGCGGGCCCCTCCCCTAAACTCGTCGGGAAAGGCAAATCCATTTTCAGAGGGGCAGCTCCAGCGAGACGGGGGATCCGAGTTCAAAAGCCTTCATCGAAGAGACTGGGCTCCTCTTCTGTCTCTTCCCCTCCCTGTTTGTCTAGGTGCCCCCTGATCTGTCGATCTTATCTGTCCCTGAGCTGCCTGTCTCTCCCAGCTCGCTCCTCTTTCTCCCATCTGTCTTCATACCTTCTTCAAGTATCAAGCTATTTATCTGTTATCTGTTTCATCTTTATCTCCGCGGATCGAATTGAAACAAGTTGACCCCCCTTTCACGTTGAAGTCCCTTGTAACATCTTAGGAGGCAAAAACACTGTCCTAACTCCCCAGCCGACGCAAGCCCCGCACCCCCCTGAAGAGCTCTCAGGCGGGCTTGGGGAGGTGACGGGGGGCTCCGCGGCTCTGGGAAATGACGATGTCTTCTCGGTTTTCCGAAACCGGCAAGTGTGCCCTGCCCGCGTGCAGTGAAGGATGCTCCTCAGAGCAGAGCGCGTCCTCCCCAAACTGAGGGTCTGGGGGCCCCGCGGGCTTTTCCGGAGTGGAGGGGGCTCTGGGCCCCAGAGCCAGGAGAAGGGGGGCCCTAGGAAAGGAACCGAATTTCGAGGGCCAGAGCGGAAAGCCCGGGCAATGAGCTGTACGCAGCGGCCAGGAGCAGCCGCCAGGGCTGCTTGCGGGGCCCTCTCCGGCTCCTGGGGCTTGAGGGATGATCTTGGAGAGGGCGACGAGGCGGGAGGCGGACGGCAGTGGGAGTGAGGCGATGGTTGTCTTCAGGTATAATAATAAGAACAACAGCCACAAGAACCCAAATCGGAACTAAACGAAAAAAGCTGTAGGGGCAGGGCGCGGGGGCTGCGGGCGACCGGACGCGGGTACTTACCGTGCGGCGGCGGCTGGAGCCGGGCGAGCGGTGAGAGGAGGTGCGCGGCGGGCGGAGCGGCGGGCGGGAGTCCGGGATCCGCTGGGCTCTCCGGGTGACGGCGCGGCCCCTCCCCGCGCGCGCGCACAGCCGCGCTCCCGGGCTCCTCGCGCTCACACCCGCGGCCCCGCTGGCCCCTCCCGCGCGGCGCCCGCTCTCAGCGGGCGCGGGACGCCAGGGCCCCGTGAGCGAAGATGTGTGCCCTGCGCCGCTGCCCCCGAGGCCCCGGACGGGCCCGGAGCCGAGGCCGAAGCCTGGAGCGCATGGCGCGGCGACGGGCACGGCGCGGTCACAGCCCGAGTGGCGAGGCCGGCGCGGGGCGGGCGCGCCTGACAGCTGCGAGCCGGGGCGCCACACCCACCGCCCGCGCAGTCACTCGCGCCCTCCCGGGGTCCTCTAGCCCGCGGGCCACGCGCCGCGCCCGCCGCCTCCTGCAGCTCCCGGGCCTGCGCGCCCCAGGTAAGCGGCCGCACACCTGCGCCCTGCGCCCGGCACCTGCGGCCCATGCTCGCCAAGGGGGACAGGAGGGAGGAAGGGCCTGGGGCTGCAAAGTTTGCCTCCCTGAACGAAGTGGGGAGGGTCCAGCGCTCCGCGCCTAAGGGCCAGGAGTTGTCTGGGCCAGGGCCGGTTGACTGGGCTGAGGAAGGCGCTAGAGGAAGGGGCGTGAGGAAGGGCATCGCACTTTTGGGCCAAAGCAGTGGATCCCGAGAGTGGCCCCGGGGAGCCAGTTGGGTAACCAGCGGCCAGCTGGGGCAGAGATAAGGGTGTGGACTATGGGGCTGGGTAGCTGGGAAGGGGCAGAATCAACTTCCCCACCGCTTCTGATTTGGTTGGAAGGCGTCAGGACAGCTCCAGCCTGGGGAGGGGCGACTCCTTCACTAAGCGGTGGAATTGGATTTGGACCACTCCTCCCCACCCCCCGTGATTGCCTCCCTCCACCAAGAGCGACCTGCCGAGGGTAGGAACTAAGTCATCGCTGGGAGATAGCGGGGGTCAACTACTTTCTAGGTGGCTGCTAGAATCTTCTCCAGCTCTCCTGCTACCTCAGTTTCCCCGTGGTAGGGGTTTAGGCCCCTGATGCTACAGACACCCCTTGGCATCTTCTTTCTTTGCAAAGCTCCATTTCTCTCCACCCTTCTCTCCTCTCTCTGCCTGTAGGTTTCTGTCTTCACTATTCTTTCTCCACACTACCCCTTTGGGTCACCGTGTTCTCCCTTTCAATCTCCGTCTCGACTTCATTCGAGTTACCAGTCTCACCCCCTCCCTATTTGTTCATACCCGGGCGCCCCCTCGCACCCCCCCCATGGCATTAAGTGTCCTTAATGGACACGTTAATTAAACTGTAATTAATCATACTGTCCAGCCTAAGTTTGAACAATTACCCTAATCAAACAGAAGTTAATAATGGCAGGAATGGCCCGGGGCGCGGCGGGCCGCCCGGGCAGGGGGCGCAGCGGCCACTGCGGCTTCCGACGTTGGCAGCAGCGGCTAGCGCAGTCCGTCCTTGGAACCGGAACGGCGCCATAAATCTTCGACGGCCAGCGGCGCGGGGTCGCCCTCGCCCCCGCGCCCTCGTTTTCCCTTTCGCTCTGGGTTACAGGCCCTCTCCTCTCCTGCCTTCCGCCTCCGCTGGGGTTCGTCACTCCTTCTCCTTCGTCAGTCCACTTCTCTCCTCTCGTTTTTCTCTTCTCCCCTGGCTCGCAGGGACCCTGGGAGAATCCTCTGGGGGGAGCGAACGGATGGCCCAGGCCTTGCCCTTGGAGAGAGGGGGCCCGGCCTGACTCGTTTGTCACCGCCTCCCCTTGGCTAACATGTTATTGGAGGCCTCAAAAACTACCCCCAAGTTTAAGGGTTCTGTCTGCCCTGCGGGGTCCCTTCTAGAGCGGCCTCTTGCTCTTTCACCTTCCTCGGTTTCCGTCTTTCTCTCTCGGACCCCCTTGCCTTTCTTTTCTCTCAGAATCTGCTCAGCCCTTTTCTCTGCCTCTGTTCCCTCCATTAATGTGTCTTTCCCAGGCTTTGCTTCTGTCCCGCTCTAACTCTACCTCTCTTTACCCTCCCCCGCCCCGTTACACTTCCCTCCGAGGTAAACAGGAACCCATTTTCCATCCCAGTCCGAAAGCCACCCCCACCCTCCACCTGCTCATCCCCCTTCCCTCTGCCCGGCCTCCCCCATCCCATAATTACAATCCCGTTCGGTAATTATTCTTAGGCTCCTAATGATTTTTTAAAAGGCATCTCAGAATTCGGTGTGGTAGTGACAACGATCGCGGAGCCAGGACGCCCCCGGGGTAGTGGGGGGTGGGAGTGGAAACAGGAGGGCCAAGGCCTGCCTGTCCTGCCTCTATTGTACTGAGAGGGCCAACAGCGCCTCCGGGGCCGACCTCTGGGGCGTTTCCGGCAGCCGGGCCCCAGGGCCCCCGGGGACTTCTCAGACAAAAGTTCCCTCCCCGGGTTGTGCCACTGAGGCCGTTCAGGGGTCGCCCCTGCGTCTCTGTTCAGCACTTAGGGTCGCCCCTGCATCTCCGTTCAGCACCAAGCTGCGGACAGCTCCCTGCACCCAAGACCGGCTTCGCAGACCCACCCAACGCTCCATCCAGGATCTGAGCTGGAGAAAGACTGCAGGCGCGTGGAGAGAGGCTGGGGAGGTGACATCCCTCGCTTGGGGGGTAGTGGTCTCCGGTGAGCGGGTCTCGGGGGTCGGGTCTGGGCTCGTCTCTGGACCAGCATCCGGTTGGTTAGTATCACCATGAACCGCATTTTACAGTTGCACAGCCGGTTCTCACAATGGCCGTGGGAATAGGTAGGGATCATTTATTCCCATTTTACAGGCAGGAAACTGAAGGCCAGGCAGTGAAAGCCAACCCACCCAGATTCCCCAGGCAATAAGGGACGCAGACTGATTTCCCAGACGCCAAATGTACCTTGCACGCTGCTGGGAGAACCTCACTTAGTGATGGGAAGATAAGGGATGTGCAGGGCCGCGCAGCTCACGAGGAGTTTTTATTATCACACAGCACGTCGTGCAGAGGAAACAGGCCTAGCAATGCCAGGTCACTTGCTCAGGTTCGGGCAGCCAGTGCGGGGCAGCGCTGGGGACTTGAACTCGGGCTCAGACGGGGGAGGATGGGACCGGTCTTCCTCAGACGGAGCTGTGGATCCTGCAGCCCAGTGCAGAGACTGGGAAGCCCGCGGCACTCAGTGCCCTTGGTCTTTCTGACCCCCATTAGCGCGGATTCTCTCTTTTATCCATTGCGGGGTGGCACTGAGGTCGGAGGGCCGGACTCCGGATCACGTGATCCGCCGCCCCCCGCCGGATCCGCTCTGCCTCCGCGTCCCCGGCGTCGCGTCCACGCGGCCTGGCGCCCGGGAGCTCATTCCGGCTCCCGCAAGGGCTGGGGCCGGGCGGCCGCGCCTTCTCCGCAAACACATATCTTTTACCAGTTGAATTAACGGCAGTTTTCGTCAGTTAATTAGGTTTAATTTACATAATTAGTACAGTATAAAGAGGATTGGGGATAATCATGGGGTACGTAGCGCTTACTGTGTAAACACGTATTCTGAATTAAAAATCAGATGTAATTAAGGCGCGCAGGCCCTGTTTAGGCAGGGTTTTAATTGTAATGAATTTCTAATTAACACTCAATGATTGCCAAATGCAAAGGGCTGTAAAATTTTCTTGTAGTTTTGCTAATTTATTGTTTACTTAATATCTGGATATTAATCCGACGGCCAGATAGACCCGAACCCCGTCCGGCGGCCTCAACCCGAGCCCATGAAGGTGACTGGGCGGGGCCTGCTGGGCCGCAGTCAGAGAGCAGTGGTGAGGTCGCCAGGGAGGCAGGGACCCCAGAACCAGCGTAACTGTGCTCGGAGCTACCCGCCCACCTCACTCTGGGTGCGGCCGGGAGGCCTGAGGCTCCGGGAGGGCCGGGACTTGCCTGAGGCTGCACACTCTGGGTTTCTGTCGCCCAGACCTGGCTCTTTGTAATCAGAGGCCAGGCCAGCGCTCCTCCCAGCGGAAGCCTCCCAGCTCCTGGTCATCGGAAAGAGCAAGGGAAGTTGAGGCCCAGAGCCAGTTCTTCCCTTAACCACTTGGACCTTCACTTGGCTTCAGTATCTGTCTGCATCTGTAGGATGGGCACACTCTCCAGCACCTTTTGAGAGTGAAGGATTGACCCACTCAGGAGGCTCATCTCTCTTCTGGAACCCTGAGGGGTGGGGAGTGGGACCTGGGCACCAGGGCTAATGTAGATTCCGGAGCCAAGAAGCTTTGGGAAAGGTTCAAAGGTTGTAAGGCCTGGTTCTGCTCATCCTGGGGTTTGCTCTGCCCTTGCGGAAGCAAGTTAGGCTGGGATGGCCTGAGTGGGGAGCCCAGCACCAGATTTCTTTGCCTCAACCAGACTTAGAAGCCTCCAAGACCTGAGCAGAGGTATATGGGAAGAGGATGGGCAAGTGGCTGGGCTGGCCCCAAAGCCCCCTCTCCCTCCAGATCTCTAGTTTGAGTCCCTGCTCATTTCCCAACTATCCTCCCCTCCAATGGCTCCCCTCTGGTCAGCGCCAGCTTAGCCACAAGCCTCTTTCCAAGGTCCTTAGCATGGGGAGACTGTCGGCACGCAGAAACTTCCTACCAACTGGAAGAAATACACCAAGAAAATGCAATGGCACCTAGAGACTTCTGACCCACAGAGCAGGCTGGCTTCACTTCTCTTTCCAGTGTCTGCCTTTCAGAAGTCTCAGAGAGCTCTCCTGGATACAACACTGGACCTCCTCTAAGCCTGCCTCCTTCCCTGGGCCCGCATCCCTCTGTCTCGTACTGTTTTGTTTTCATCATTAGATTGCTCACCAGTTAATACTTCCCAAGTAGTTATTTATTTGTGAGTATTTTCTGAATCTCTCCCTGGAATGTTTTATTTGCTATCGTATTCCCGGGGGGCCTAACACAGGGTCTAGCATACAGTAGGTACTCACCATATTTGTTGATTGAATGAGTGAGCAGCATTTGAGCGTAAAGGCTGTGAGCCCCAGCCCAGGTCCCAGTTGACTTGCTGGCCATAATGACTGAACGGTACCCTTGGTGTCTAGTGGCCAATTGGTTCTTCAAGAGTAAAAGGTTCTGTGCTCCCTGGTGATGTCTAGGAGGTCCTGGGATTCCCACCATCCTCACAGGTTCAGGCAAGGCTCCTCAGGTAGAGCCCCCAAAGGCTTGCTCTCTTGAAAGGTGGGGATAGGGGTGCCCGGGTGGCTCAGTCAGCTAACTATTGGTTTCAGCTCAGGTCAGGGTCCTGAGGTCAGTCCTGCCTCCTGAGATCGAGCCCCACCTCGGCCACCTCGCTCAGGGTAGAGTCTGCTTGAAATTCTCTTTCCCTCTCCCTTTGCCCTTTCCCCGGCACACACACTCTGTCTCTCCTAAATCAATCAATCAATCAATCAATCAATCAATCAATCTTTTCAAAAAAGAGGTGGGGATAGGTCCTGGCAGGCAGGTGGGGAGCAGCTGGTGGGCTTGCTGAGCTCTCCTTGGTTGTAAGGGGCTTCCTTCCCAGGGCCTCTTTCCACTCAGCTTGGTGGGGGAGGGCTGGAAAGAGGACAGACTCTGGAGGCAGCAAGACCTGGGTTCAAATCCCAGTTCTGCTCTGAGTCTTCAAACCCGCATCAGTGGAGTAGTCATAAGCGTGTTACGGCGATGTTATAATGATTAAATAAGCTGCTGGGTGTATGGCACATACTCAGATCTGGGCTAGAGTGAGGTGCCTAGGGTGCAAAATTTAAGGAGACATTTTCTTTCTGGGTCCTGGATATCCTTCCCGTAGTCTCAGCCTGCACAAAGCACGTGACAGAGTGGATGCTCAGCATATATGAGTTTTCCCCTCCTCGACAACCTCCAATCACTTCCAGATGGCTGCCTGAACATTGGTGGAGTCCAGGTGCTGGGACAGGTCAAGCTTTACTAAGGTGTAATTCACATACCACACAATTCACCTATTTAAAGTGTACAATTCAATGGTTTTTGTATATTCAAAGAGTTGTGCAACCATCAATTTTAGAACATATTTATCACCCCAAAGAAAAACCTTGTACGCATTAGTGATCACCCCACAGCCCCCACCCTCCCAGCCCTATTAGCGATCACCCCACAGCCCCCACCCCCCAGCCCTAAGCAACCACTACTTTTTGCTTCTATATATTTGCCAGTTCTCAACATTTCAACTAAATGGAAACACACCATGTGTGGTCTTTTGTGACCGGCTTCTTTCATTTCACATAATGTTTTTAAGGTTCATCCATGTTGTAGCTTGGATCAGTGCTTTATCCTTTTTTACCGTCAAATAATATTCCTTTGTATTGGTATCCCTTATTTTGTTTATCTGTTCATCCATTGATGAATATTTGCATTGTTTCCATTTCTTGGCTATTATAAATGAGGCTGGTATGAACATTCATGTGCAAGTAATTTGTGTGGTTGTATGTTTTAGTGTGTGTGTATGTGTGTGTGTGGTTGTAATTTCTCTTGAATATACATCTAGTGGTAGAATTGCTGGGTCATTTAATAACTCTACACTTAACCTTTTAAGAAACCATCAGATTTTTTCCAAAGCACTGCAATTTTACATTCTAACAGCAATATATGAGGATTCTGGTTTTTCTACATCCTTGACAATACTTATTATCAGCTCTCTCTTTTAAAAAAGATTTTATTTATTTATTTATTTATTTAGGGCATGCCAACATGTGTGTCAGGGGGTGGGGAAGGGCAGAGGGAGAAAGAGAATCTCAAGCAGACTCCCTACTGAGCTCAAAGCCCTGATACAATCTCACGACCCTGAGGTCACCACCTGAACATTAGTTGGCACCCTACTGGCTTTCCTGGTTGGGAGAAATGATTATCCTTCTTTCCCCAGGAGAGATGGGGCCTCCCCAGAGAAGGGCCCCCTCAGCCTCCTCCCTCTGCAGATGCAGATGGATGTTCACCATAGTTACTCAAGAATTAAGAACCAGTCATTCTGAGTCAAAACCAAGAGTCAGACGCTCCACCGACTGGACCACCAGGCACCCCATCATCTCTTTTTTTTTTTCTATAACAAGCTATCTTTGTGGGTGTGAAATAGTATCTCATTGTGGTTTTGACTTGTATTTCTCTAATGACTAATGATTTTGAGCATCTCTTCATGTGCTTATTAGCCACTTGTACATCTTCTTTGGAGACACGTTTGTTCAAATCCTTTCCTCACTTTTTCAATTGGGTTATCTCTAGTTCTATTATTGAGTTGAAAGAGTTCTTAATATATTCTAGGTACAAGTCTCTTGTCAGATACAGGTTTGGCAAATATATTCTGTGAGTTGTCTTTTCCCCTTTCTTAAGGGTGTCCTTTAAAGCACCGAAGTTTTTATTTTTGATGACACCCTATTTACTTATTTATTTATTTATTTATTTAAGATTTTATTTATTTATTCATGAGAGACAGAGGGAGAGAGAGAGAGGGGGAGAGAGAGAGAGAGAGAGAGAGAGAGAGAGAGAGAGAGAGAGAGAAGCAGACTCCTAAGGAGCAGGGAGCCCGATGCGGGACTCGATCCCAGGACCCTGGGATCATGACCTGAGCCGAAGGCAGACGCTTAACCATCTGAGCCACCCAGGCACCCTATTTATTTATTTTTTAAGATTTTTATTTATTTGACAGAGAGAGACAGCGAGAGAGGGAACACAAGCATGAGGAGTGGGAGAGGGAGAAGCAGGCTCCCCGGGGAACAGG